TGCCTCGGCGGAACTCGCCTCAGCCTTGGCGCGGAGGCAGACCGGGGCCTGGGGCAGCGAAGGGCATGAGGGGAAGCGAGGGATCCACGGATCCCTGGGCGAACGGGGACTCTGGGGGCTGGCGTTGGGGACAGGTCCGGGGAGGTGCGCCGTGGAGCCCGGACTCCGAGGGCTGCTGGGGGCTGACCCGGAGGTAGAGGTGGATTGCGGGGCCCTGGGGGAAAGGGGAGGCCTGCGGGGCCGGACCCCGTCTCACTGAGTCCCGTTCTCTCACAGATGGAGATGGATGATGGGAAGGGTGGCACGGGACTCCGACAGTACTACCTGTCCAAGATCGAGGAGCTGCAGGTGAGCCATCCCCAGCTGTGCAGCCACCCGGCCTGCTCTGGGCAGGTGTCTCTGTGGTTCCAGCCAAGGGTGCCTATCTCTGTCTCCAGGCCTACCCTCAGGCTAAGAACATCTGCAGTGCTTTGTAGGCCTTTTTTTGCTGCCGGTGCCCTGTCCTGGGGTGCAAGGAGGAGGCACTTGTGAGGACGGTGTCTACAGGCAGGGCCATCAGTCCAGCCTTTGGGCGATGCGGGCATCCACGATGTGTTTCTGTCCTACCCAGTGTCATCGCTGCTTTGTGTGTATGAGATATTGCCTAATCCTTGGTAATGGAACCTGGCTGGTCACGTCCTGTTTGGAAAGGCTGTGCTGTCCTAGGTGCTTGTCCCAGGATGAAAGCTGCTCCTGCCTGTTCTGCTGCAGCTCAGCTAGTGCCTGTTGCACGCACTTGGTGTGCAGTTAGTTTGAATGTTGTATGGGATTCTGAAGTCTTAGCTAAGCTTTCTTTTTACCTAGCTCATCGTCAATGAGAAGAGCCAGAACCTGCGGCGTTTGCAAGCTCAAAGAAACGAGTTGAATGCCAAAGGTACAGCTCTTTTCATTTTTCTCATCCTGATCTCCTGCAGTGATGTGGCCACTCCTAGTTGCTGGGCTGATGACTTGGGACCCAGCTATGGGCCAGCATGGCTAGTGCTGTTGTTGGGAAGATCCAGCTCCTGCCAGGCAGGAACATGTGCTCTGAGTTTCATAAATCCTCTAGATGTTTTGTTTTTGAGGGTTTTTTTTTTCTTTGCTGTTGTAGTTAAGGGAAGGTGGGTACCCTTGGTTCCAGCTGAGTCCCTTTCCTGAGCAGGACTCTGCACTGATCCCCAAGATGTCCCCGAAGGGCTGCGTGGGGTGTGTGTGCCACCTCCATTGGGGGCCGGGTGTCCTCTCACTGCACTGGGAGCTGATGCCTGTAGCTGGGCAGAACGGCGCTGCTGATGTCTCCCTCCCTCTTCACAGTGCGCCTGCTGCGAGAGGAGCTGCAGTTGCTGCAGGAGCAGGGCTCCTACGTGGGGGAGGTGGTGAGAGCCATGGACAAGAAGAAAGTGCTCGTCAAGGTACAGAGCTGGGGTGAGCGGGTTGGAGAAGGACAGAGTCTTTCCTCATCCTTGCACAAGGAGAGGGTTGGAGGGCAGATGTGATAGCACAAGTTCTGGGAGGGATGTGACAAGGAAGAAATGTGAAGCGAGAGCTGTATCTAGAGGAGCACCTTGTAGCACCTCTCGTGAGCCCCAACCTTCCCCAAGCAGGTGGGAAGCACCTGGCTCAGGGGTTACTGGGGGCAGGTGGAGCTGCAAGGTTTGTGTTGGTGGCTGAGCTGCCTGGCTCCTCCTTCCCCCTCTGAGAAGCCAGTATGGGTACTGGACACACGACTGGGGACGTTTCAGGTAGAGAAATAACTCATGGTGGCAACTGCCATGTTTCAGGTGCACCCGGAAGGGAAGTTTGTGGTGGATGTCGACAAGAACATTGACATTAATGATGTGAGTGTGGGGATGTCCTGGGGGCCGTGGGTGGGAGGGGAAGGAGATTGCTCCCCTTGGGGTGGCCTCGTGCTGCCTGCTGCATTCCTCAGCCTGGGGTGGCTCAGAAGGGCTGTATCAGGGCCAGGTGCTAAGTTCCCCTCTGATCTTGGCGTAGGTGACCCCAAACTGCCGCGTGGCCCTGCGCAATGACAGCTACACACTGCACAAGATCCTGCCCAACAAAGTGGACCCTCTTGTGTCCCTGATGATGGTGGAAAAGGTCCCGGATTCCACTTACGAGATGATCGGAGGTTTGGACAAGCAGATAAAGGAGATCAAGGAAGTAATCGAGCTGCCAGTCAAACACCCAGAGCTCTTTGAGGCCCTGGGGATTGCCCAGCCTAAGGCAAGTGCTGTCCACCTGGGCCTGGTGTGATTAGGGGCTGCTGGTGACCACAAGGGGATGAGCACCCTGGGGTGCTGCTGTGGCTGCTGCTGCAGTGGCACTGCAATGCTGCGATCCTGCCCCTCGCTGCCCAGGGTTGCTGTGCATCACCTGCTCCTTTTTGTTGAGGTTGTTTGGGCTAGTGGGAAGGAGAGGTAGCTCTGGGGTCTCGTAGCTTCTCGGGTGCTGCGTTCCACTTTGTGAAGGAGAGAAGGGATGTGGGACAGTAAGTGCTGCTGCCCTGGTGAGGATATTTGCTCTCCCTGTCTGTGGCTCTACCTTGGGGGCAGAGGAGAGGGGGCTTTCCTGTCCCAGGATCACCTTCAGAGGCCCCTGGACTGGAGCTTTCCCCCAGCTTGCATGCATGGTGGCAGGGAGCTCTGCCCAAATGCAAAGGGCCTGGTGGCACTAGCTGCTAGAAAGATTTTTCCCTTGTCCCCCCACCCTAGCTGTGTCACTTCCCCAGGGGCAAACAGGGCCTGTGAGCATGTGGGAATGGAAGCTGTGGCAGTGCCTGGGCTGCCCTGGGGTGTCCCTGCCCGTGCAGGTACTGACGGAGGGTTGCTGAGGCCCTGCCTGGCAGCAGTGCTAAGGCAACCGCGTGACCGTTGCAGGGTGTGCTGCTCTATGGACCCCCTGGTACAGGCAAGACTCTGCTGGCCAGGGCTGTGGCCCACCACACTGACTGCACCTTCATCCGTGTCTCAGGCTCCGAGCTGGTGCAGAAGTTCATTGGCGAAGGTAAAAGCATGCAGGGGGAGGCTGCTGTGTGCATCAACATCAGTCTGAGCCCTGGAAAGGGTGCCAATGTGGTGCTGTGTGGCCTCGAGGGGCTGAGTGCCTCTTGTGTGGTGTCCTGGGTTGCTCAGAGACACCATGGGTGCACCAGGCTCTGTGCAGTGCCAGGTCTTGACCCTCTCTGCTCTCTACAGGTGCTCGCATGGTGCGGGAGCTCTTTGTGATGGCCCGGGAACATGCCCCATCCATCATCTTCATGGATGAGATTGACTCAATTGGCTCCTCCCGCTTGGAAGGTGGCTCTGGCGGGGACAGTGAGGTGCAGCGTACTATGTTGGAGCTTCTCAATCAGCTTGATGGCTTTGAGGCCACAAAAAATATCAAGGTGTGAGGGCTGCTGTCCCTGGTGGGGCCCTGAGCTGCCTGGGGAAAGGGGCAGTGTTGTGCTGGTCTCATGGTAGCAGTGGGGGGCCCAGAGTGGTGACAGTGGCTGCTCTCCTGGTACAGGTGATCATGGCCACAAATCGGATTGACATCTTGGACTCGGCTCTGCTGCGCCCTGGCCGCATCGACAGGAAGATCGAGTTCCCCCCTCCCAATGAAGAGGTAGGTGGGGTGTCCCATGGCAGGTCCCATGTCTCTGTGGTCCTGGCCCTCTCCCTGCGGGGAGAGCAGGGTCCCCAGCTCTGTCTGGGAGCAGTTCCTCCTGTGCTTATTTGGGGGGGGCTCCAACCCTTGCCTCACTGCTGCTGTCCTTACAGGCCCGTTTGGACATCCTCAAGATCCACTCCCGGAAAATGAACCTGACACGAGGCATCAACTTGCGAAAGATTGCGGAGCTGATGCCAGGAGCATCAGGTGCAGAGGTGAAGGTGAGCCCAGAGTCTGAGAGATGAGCAGCAGTGGGGTGGCTGGGTCGGGGCCTGGCAGCCAGTCTGTGTCCTCTTGGCCCTTGCTGGGGGTGCAGGGTCTAGAGCTGATGAAGAAGAGCAAAGGGTGACATCTCTGTTCCCTCGCAGGGGGTGTGCACAGAAGCTGGCATGTATGCACTGAGGGAGAGGCGGGTGCATGTGACACAAGAAGATTTTGAAATGGCTGTTGCCAAGGTAAGTGCCATGGCAGGGAGGTGAGGGGAGCTGCTGGGTGGTTTCTCTAGGGGCAAGGAGCTGCCAGCAGGGCACAAACTGTTCTGCGGCAGCATCTGCTCAGCTTGCTTTGCCCTCCACCCACCTCCAGAGAACCAATAGCAGTCTGAAGGGTGCTCCTGGGCACTGGAATGCCACTGTCTACATAGCTAAGAGCATGAGCAGCCTCAAAAGAGGCTGGGCAAGGTGGAGACCTCTCCCCTGGGTTGTGGTGCACAGCCACAGAACAGGAGCATAGCTGGAGCTGGGTGCTGTAGTGCTGGCCTTCTGTAAGGCTGCAGCTCCTGGGATTAGTGGCACCCATGAGGTGGGTGTTGGGTCAGGGACAGATTGGGCCTTTGTGCTGGGAGCCAACCTTTTTCTCCCTGCCCAGGTGATGCAGAAGGACAGTGAGAAGAACATGTCCATCAAGAAGCTGTGGAAGTAATGGTGAGGTTAGGGCTGCTCCTTGTTTCATGTTGTCTAATAAAGTGCTGCTGTGGCCAGGCCTGTTGTGCTGATGTGGGACAAAGAGGGGAAGCAGGGATGGCCCTCGGTGGGGCAGTTAGGGGCTGCAAAGGGGAAGCCCGTGCTACAACAGAAGAGACCTCTAGCAGACATGCAACCAGCTGCTGCTAACTGTTTTTATTAGAAAATATCCAAAATAGACAAAATGGTTACACAAGAGGCAGAGCAGGCACCCCTGAGCCATACATACACCCTGTGAATATGTAAACACCCCCCCCCCCCCAAAACAAAAAACCCCTTCCCTCCACACACCTACACTCTGCACACAGCCACTGCACCAGCTGCAGCACAGGAGCTGGCAGGACCAATGCCACAAGAAGTTCCTGGGCAAGGGGCAGCAGAGGCTTGAGTGGGTAAGGCACTTCAGCAGGTCTGGCAGGTGGTAGCACTGTTCTCAACCCCAGTGCTGCAGCTGCCCCCCCTTCCCAGCCCCTAACTCCAGCATCTCCAGTTCTCAGATCCCCAGCATGCTCTGACCCTCAGCTTATGCCAAGCTGATGCCCTTGCCCACAAGACTCCCGGGGACAGAGCAACCCCTCTGCCCCACATACCTCGTGTATCAATCACAAGACAAGTCACTATATATGCAGAATAGCAGGGGGTAGAGTAATCAACTGATTGTCAAAAACTCAAGACTAAAAACTTGGTTACATATAAAAAGAACAGCTTGGGCCAAGCCAGCCCTTGAAAACACCATGAATCCACTGCATAGATTGAGGCAATGAGTGCAGTAAGAGGAACTCAATATATTAATCAAATACAAACCCACTGTACAAAAAGCTTCCTTTTTATAAAACCTGGTCACAAAAATAGTGCAAAACATTGGGCACCAGCAGGGCTGGTATTTGGAATGGACAAACTTTGGTTGAAGAGGGGCAGGGCCAGGCCTGCCCTTGTGGTGGCTGGGAGAGGCTGGGCCAGGGAGGGCTGGCAGGGCAGGCTCTGCCTCCCGCTCTGGTACAGGAAGCTTTCCCCGCTGGGCAGCAACTCCAGGAGGGCTTTGGCCAAAGGCACTGAGAGGAGGGGAGCAAGCAGAAGAACACGCTTGCGGGGGGGGGCTGCATTCAATGCTTGGGGAGAGGTAAGCAGTATGATGCAAAAGCAGAATGCATTAATGCAACAGAAGGGCTGAAGCAGGACTTGGGGGAGAACCAGGGGACCCTCCACTACTCTGCCTTTGGCTAGAGCTTCCTGGCCAAGGGGAGCCCAGGGGTTGCTAGTGGCTCCAACTCCCTACAGGCACATAGGCTTTGTGCAAGTGCTGTATTTGATTCCAGTAAGAAGTACCATCAGGCTCAGGCAGCAGGGAGAGGAGAGGGAAGCTCCTGAGCCCTCACCAGCCCCTTAGGTGAGGCGGATCCCGAGCACTTGTTCCAGTTCCTGCCGGCGCTGCTGGACCTGGGGGAGAGGAGTGGGGCAGTCAGGCAGAGAGATGGACTCTGGGCTGGCCCCTGCCACCAGCTGCCTTTATCCCTCCCACAGGATCAGTCCATTCCGTGCAAGCAGTTCTTGCCCCTGTTCACTGACCTGGCCCTCTTTCTGCCCCCAGCTGATAGCCCAGCAGCACCTTTCATGGCCACACCATAGCATTTTTATCTCCTTGGGAGTACAAAACAAGGGGAGGTTGTGCACACCCTTTTTCTCTGGTGGTTTTCCCATCTCAAATGCACGGAAGGTTCTAATTCCCCCTTGGAAGAGCTTTGAGGGCAGAGGGGAGGAGGTCAGGACTGGTGTGCAGGGGAGAACAGGACAAGGCAGGTGAGAGAGCCCACACCCTACCATGCAGCAAGGAGCCCACCTTGGCAAAGATGTGTCTCCCCACAGCCTCCTGTGCCCAGGGCTGCTGGTAGAACTCAGCTCGTCTCTCCTCCTCAGGGTTCCCGATGACATCTGTTATGATCTGAGCAAAGCACGGGGCACGCTGTGGTGAGCACCAGGGCCTGGCTCCCTCCACAGTCCCTTCCCCTGCCACAGGGCCAGGCCAGCTGCCTCTCCCAGGCACTGCTGGAGCCTAGCACTGCCTCTGCAGTTGGAGTCAGGCAGCTCTCCTCATGTGCCCTGCTCCTCTCCTGCCCAGCCCCAGGGTTTTACCTTAAGGTCCCTCCTCTGGGATTTGATCCATTCCTGGATGAAGTCCTGTGGGTTGTTGCTGAAGCTCAGCATGAAATCACGCTGTGTCTTCAGCTGGTTGATGGATTCGATGGTCTCATGGATCTAAGGAGATGACAGGAGAGGAGAGGAGACCGGGGGGGGGGGGGGGGGGGCGGGGGGGGGGCTGGCTGAGCAGTAGCTAGAGTTGTGCAAAGTCCCGCAAAACAGGAGGGTAGAGCTGAGGAGGGTAGAGCTGGTACTGAGCTCCTCCCAAGCTCTCTGCACCCCAGTCTAACCCCGGGAATCCCAACCCTGCTGCCTGCCCTGACTGCGCTCTGCTCCAGGGCAGGGCTGGCACCTCATGGGTGCCCCTGCACCTTGGCATCCAGGGAGGCAATCTCCTGCTGGTTGGTGGTGGAAGCCAGGAAGTTGCTCATCTGAGCTTTCAGGGGATCATCCACCTCCACATCGATGTCATAGCAGGCTGTCTTCTTCTGGTCATTGGGGTCCACACTGGGAGGAGACAGGGCATTAGGGGGGGGACTTCCCCAGCCTCCACCCTCCCATAGGAGGGAATACAACCCCCCCAACAGCAATACAAGTACCTCACTACCACCTCTGTCCCACCTGATTGCCCCAAGAAGCTCTCCCAATTTGTCTGACCAATTCTTCCTCTCCCGAATGACTCGCGCTCGATGCTGCTTTGGGCTTGAGACCTTATACAACCTGTGGGCACTGCCCTCCACTCCTGCACCCCTCAGGGAGAAGTATCTTGTCCCAGAGCCACTGCATGGGGCAGCCCACCCTGCAGTGACAAAACCCACCAGCCCCCAGGAACACTGCCCAGCACAGCCTGCTGCCCCTACCTGATGGTGTGGTTGATGATGATGGGATCTGGGTGCTGCAGGAGCCCTGCCAGCTTCATGGGGATCTCAGAGAAGCGCATGCGGATACAGTTAAAGATCTGGAGGGGGCACAGCAGAGCGTTAGCTGCCCATGCCAGAGGCTCCTTCAACCCTCTGGGGAAAGGTCAGGCAGGAGAGGGAGAACTCGCCCAATCCTAGTTTATGCATGCAAAGCGGATGGATGCAAGCCAGAGCCTGGGAAGGGGGACATAAATCAGGGACAGAGACTGGGCAGTCTGGGATGCCCATTTCAAGCTAGGAAAGATGCTTTTGCCTGCTGGCCTTGCTAGGAGCGGGAAGGGTGCTCTCCTCCCAGCAGCAACTTAGGCAAACACTGCTGGTGCAGCAGGATGAGGGCTGTGCTGAGGCTGCAGAGCCCCACAGCAGGCACGTGGCCAGGAGCACACACGGAGGAGGGGTGCTGGATGACCTGGCGGAAGTAGCGGTTGCAGTTGATGTACTCCTTCTCGTGACTGTCCTGCAGCTTGTTGTGCTTGATGTAGAGCCAGAGCGCTTGCATGATGCTGGCACGGGTCTGGGTGTGCACCCCAAGGAGGCGAGCCAGGCGAGGATCCAGTTTGTACTGTGGTGGCTGCAGGGACACAAGGGCCCCATTAGGATTAAGGGAGTCTGGGACTTGGAAGGACCCCTCCTGCAGGCACAGTGCCTCACACAGCCCTTGTTTCATGACATGAGGGTCCCTTTTGCCCACAGGCTGCGAGATCCATGCCTGGAGCCCCTCTGTGCTCCTTTCCCACCCCACTCTGCACCAGAGCACACAACTCCACAGCACCCCAACAGCTGCAGGCAAGGCCCAGCCTAGGCCTGAGGGCTGTGCTGGAGGAAGGACAGCAGGACACAACCAGCACCTGCATGGTCCCAGGGCCCCTACCTGGTGATCCAGCATGAGCAGCAGGGTGCATTTCACATTGACGTCGCCAGGACGCTTCACTTGGAAGCCATCAGTCTCCTGCGTTGTGGGCAGCCGGTGCCACTACAAGAGACCAGGGGGACAGTGCTCAGCTCCAGGTCCACAAAAGGCCTGACACACCCACTAACAGGCTCTGGGGCCTGCAGCCAGGAGCCAACAGAACTGATGTCTGGGCTTTGCACAGGGGTCTATACCAAACGTAGACAGCCTAGATCCCATCCCTTGCCCACACAGGCAGTCCCTGGGAGTCTGATCCAGACTTTGGCCACAAGCCCAGCTGGGGAGCCCACACTGCCACAGTCCAAGAGACACCCCTTGATAAGCTCCAGCCCGGAGGCAGCTGCAGGCAGTTTTGAAGGGCCAGGGGCATTACAGCCCCAAGCACCAGATGTTAACGGCTCAAATAGCTCTTAGAGTCACAGCTGGGACTACAGCAGCCTCCCAGGGTGGGATTGCTCCCACTTCAACCACCACAAGGGTAGGAACATCCGACCTGCTCTCACAACCAACCTTCTGTGCATGAAGGAGATTCACCCCTCCCATCAGAGCAGGTACCACCATAGAAACAAGTGTTTCTCAGAGGACAGCGTGAGCTGAGTGCAGGGAAAGTGTGCATTAGGCAGGAGCCCCCAGAAAAGGCCTGCTCTCACTTGCAGGCAGTGCTGCCTTGCAGCATTTCACCTCCTCATGGACCTTCCAGCCATGCAACAGGTTAGGAGATGACAGGGCAGACCCTTCTCCTCCCTTGATGCTGGGAAGTTCAGGTGAGCCACTCTGAGGCATCACCACCTTTGTCAAGACTCAGATACACGAGCCTCCCCACCCCACCCCACGCTGCCCCTCAGAGCCACATCCTCCCTGCTGCCCACAGTCTGACTTCTCTCAGCTCTAGCCGCATCCTTGTAGGCTGTCCCCCCAGCATCCCAGTCCAGCTGCAGCCCCAGACAGGACAGGGTTAAGATTCAAGCAGCCATGAGCTGGATGGGCCAGCTTGCAGCCAGGCTGCCGTTGCTGCTGGGAGCTATCCAGGTGAGGGGGGGAGGGCTGACCACACTGGGCTGCCAGCCAGCGCCTCAGAGGAAAACAGAGCCATAAACTTGAGCCTGGAAAGCACGGCAGCCTGGTCCCTGGTGAGGGCCCAGCACTAACCCCCTGCACAAACAGCACCACATCCTCTGCATCAGCACCACGTCCCTGCTGCTCCACCCACAGCACTGTGCAAGCCCTGCTCGACCCCCTCTCCCACTGGGGCAGCAAGCACAGGAGCCAAGCACCCATCTGTCTCCCTTTGCCTGCTGGGGCCAAAGGCTCTTCTCATCCTGCCCTGGGTGCACAGCCAGCCTCGCGACACGGCTGAAAGCCTCCTGCAGCCCCGCTGGGTGCATCTTACCTCCACTAGATGGTTGTCTGGCCCGTACAGCTCTTTGTCCAGCTCGATGACGAGGCTCTTGAAAAAGGAAGAGAACTTCCTCTTCTGTTTGCTTGGCTGCAAAACAGAGTGCAAGAGGCTTGGCCTGACAGTGCCAGCCATGGAGGGCCCCAGCCCAGAGCACTACGCCCCAGCCCAGAGCCCTGGGGAGCTGAGGGCCGTATCGATCCTGGACAGGTTCTCACAAAACCAGCACAGTCTCCCTCCCGCAACCAGCCAGCAGACTCTAGCCCCCATCCCCGCCCACATCCTTACGTCCTCCAGCAATTTGCCCTCCACACGTAGCTCCCAGGAAGCCACACGCTCACCACCCTCCCCTTCTTCTTTGGCTGGGGTAAAGGTATTAGAGATGTAAATCCTCAGCTTCCGCTTTTGCTGTGGAATAGGAAAACAAAAAGGGGGATGCTTGGAGTGAGAGGGTGAGCACATACAGCAGCACCCACCTTGCAGGGTCTCTTAATTCCACCCCCTCCCCACAGCTACTTGCCCTCCCAGCCAGCTGGGGCTGCCACACACCGTAAGCGGTTTCTTAATGGCCTCCTGAATCTCCATCCTCTTCCGAGCGATGGTTTGGTCCAGTTTCCGCTCAAAGGCGAGGAGGTCCATGTAAGCCTGGGATTCTGGGACCAGCTCCCGGATCTGTCAAATGGAGATGGCCGGTCTCTCACCTGCTGGGATCACTGCCTGTATCGCCCCCAGGCCCAGCCCCAGCTGGGCTGACAGTCCAAGGAATAACCAAGCGACTAGCCTGTCACGACAGCAAAATTTCTCCTTTCAAAGACTACAGCTCTGCAAAGCTTTCCCCAAACCAGGGAGCTGCACTGTGGAGCACAATTCGGAGCCCGCCCCTGTGCTCAGTAGTCTGCCCAGTGTCACAGAGAGATGACCGCAACCCTAGGTTGTCGAGAGGGACCCTAGCTGTCCAACTTTTGCACATTCCAAACATCTCCTGCTACCCCAAGTCCGTCAGTGGGGCCCAGCAGATGCAACAAATATTTTCCAGGTCAGTTTGGGACCGAGCAGAAAAGCAGGCAGGACGAAACCCAGTTGAGTCCCTGCTCAAACAGGGATCTCATCATCTCTGCTGCCCTGGGAAGGCAACACAGATGCATCACGTCCTTCCAGCAGCTCAGTTCCTTCCCCAAACTGCTACCCAGCCTACCAGTGCCAAAGCAGCACTCACCCTCTGCGGTAGGACCTTGTCAGCCATCTTCCTCCTTTTCACCCTGCAAAAAAATATGGAGACAGTGGGGAAAAAACCCCCAAGACACTGCAGCCCTCTGTGCATGGGACACTGTGAGCCATGCTGCCTGCCAGGCGGGAAGCTGCTGCGTGGCCCAGGCAGCAGTGGGTGTTGGAGGGCACCACCGAACCCAGATCATATGCCAGGACCCCAGTGGCACTATTGGCTCCATTCGAGCCATGAATGGTGTCAGGCTCTGGAGAGGGCAGTCACGCTGGCAATGCCAGCTGTGTGCCATGCAGGCGTTTCATTCTGAGCTTGGCATTAAGGCTCCCACTGCAGGGAACAGAGTGATCTGAGGGAACAAGTTCCCTCTCAGGGCTGCCCCACGTGACAAGCGCTCTGGAGTTGAAGGAGGAGGGAAAAAAGAAAGGCAGTAAAAGCATCTAGAGCACACATCCTTGGGTCAGTGCTAGAAAGCAAGTAAAAAAAAAAAGGGTTATGGCCACGTAGGCAAGCCAAAACATATCTTCAGAGAGGAGTAGTACACTCTAGAGCGTACCGCCAGGGAAGAAAATCCAGTCCTCAGGCCCAATTTATTGCATAGCAGCCACTTGCTGAAAGTGCTGCAGGACAGGAGCAAGAAGAGGAAGGTTAAAACCAAAGCTGCTACTTTAGGCTTGCTCCAGCTCTGATCTATTTGCAGTACAATACTCTTATTCCCATTCTGGAATTGGCCATCACATTCTCCCAAAGCTACAAACTAAAGCTCAACACACACCTCCAGTTCCAGGAGCTCACTAAGAAACAGCTGAAACACAGACCAACCTTGCCACAGCGAGGCTAAAACCATCACAGGCTAGAGGTAATGGAGGAGGCTTCCAGAGCCACTAGAGTTGCAGCCTTGCTCAGAACCATTTTTAGCTTCTTCCAAGCTTGTAGTACCCTGTCTGACCACAGGACCTGGTCCCAACACCCTGGGCTCTCCTCCCTTCCCAGGCACTGCAGACTCCCTGCCTCCCACAGCTGTTTGAGCAGGAAGACACACTGGGAGGCCAGTCCTAGCTAAGCACAGGGTCACTGTGCCTATTTGAACTCTTCCACCACATGAACCGGGCATCTCATTGAATGTTTCTGTCCTGCATGATTTGACCACTCAATTAACAGCTGGCAGGTCCTGATCTCCTCAACAGCCACCCAGGAACGAGGCAGCACAGCCAGCCCAGGTCCTGCACGCAGACCTACAGCTCCATACTGGATGCGCAGCTGATCCCACACAGACCTGTTGCCTGCTCACAGAAACGGAGCTGCAGCCTTATCTGGCTGTTTACATCCTTGTTCAGTGGTGAACTGGCCCTTTTCCTTAATCCCCAATTTGCTCTGGAGATCAAACTGATGTGCAGTCACTGCTTTTCCACCAGCAGCAGACAGATAGCAACTCTCCAAGCACAGAGCTCTGCAAAGGGATCATGAAGCCGCTTTGCTCAGTTTAGCAAAGTCAACAGACCCATCAGCAGCCAGCCCCACCGCACAGCCAAGGCAGGGAACCGGACCTGAATATCCGTTAAGACCACGAGATCCTGCCCCGAGAAACAGCCTCAAGTAATCAAGAAGCCCTCTTGGAAACAGGAACGGACCAAAGGGCTTAGCAGAATCGTAAACAACTGAGGAGTTGCTGGCAGAGCCCCACAGCTCATGGAGACAAGCCCAAATGAACAGTCATACTGAGACCACAGCTTCAGGGAGTGTCTCTGCAACCTGTCACCCTCATGCCCCCCCACCACCATGGCCTTTTGACACTGCTTGGGAGCAGAGACACTCTCTGCAACTCCAACTGCCTCCTGCAAGGGGAGGGAACCTGTTGCCACCTACATCTGCACTTGCCAGAGCCAGGACGTAGCAAAACCCCTCGTGAGAGGGGAAAGACCCCAAAGAGCCCATGCTGCAGCCTCTGGCAACTACAAACACAAATGGCAAGGCTTTTCAGTTGTTGGCGCAGAGATCAGAGGGCAGGGAAGCAGCTGGCCAAGTGATCTCTGTCCTGATCTCCACCCACCGCTATCACATCCCAGCGCCAGGCTTTGGCAGGCTTCCTACCTGCTGGTGGGGCCAGCTGGGGGAGTTTGCAGGCAAGCTGTGCTCAAGGCTGCCCCTCTTGCAGGCAGCTCACCCCTCTGCAGATGGACAGGGAGGGAGAGGAAGCTGAGGGTTTCTGCAGCAGAAGTGCAACTAGGAGGCAGCGGCCAGACCCAGCACATTAACCCCCTGCCACCCTGCTGGAGGTACTCTCCCATCTGCCCCCAGCGCAGGAGGGCTCTGATTCCTTACCCTCTCCTCTGGCTGGCCAGTGGTGGCTGCGACTGGGGAGTGAGCAGGCGTTTCCTGAAGGGATCCATCATGGACTGTGGCAGGCCAGGTCTCATCGGAGAGGCTGCTCCGTAGGGGGGAGCTCCTGGGGGTCCCACCTGCAGTCCTGCCATAGGCATCCGGCTTCCTGGTGGCATCCCAGGGCGCTAGCAGGGGGGAGAGAGAAAACACACATGCGTTAAACACTGCCCTGCCATGGGGCTCATCCCAAGCTATAGCCCCTTTGCAAGGGATGATATCAACGGTCGCTAGATCAGCACAGAGCAGACGTCACATGGAGGAAACGCAGCTCCTAAGACCTTACCAAGCCCTGTGGACACCTTTCTTTCCCCAAGAGAGGTTTCCAAGGACCCCATCTCTAGCGTTATTAATGTATCCCTGCTCCCCAGAGTGTGGGTGAAGGGCAGGGGAAGGGATGACTCAACGGGGAGGAGGAGGAAAGGACACTGGGGGCCATCGCTTAGCGAGCTGTGGCTTTCAGTACTCTAGAAGGAGTGACAGGAAAGTAGAACCAAGAAGAGCAGAAGCATCCACCACAGGAGCCTCTGCACCCCCCTGCTAACGGACGGAGACTGCCAGCACAGGGGAAGCCCTGACTGGCAGCACTTGCTTCCCCGGGAGCGGGATGAGGTCTGTGCATGAGCCTCACCATCGCCATGCTCCTACCCACACAGTAAGAGATGCTAGACCTAGAGAGGCGCCCCGTTGCCAGGCTTAACATCTGCAAAGCCTCCACCCTGGGGACACCAAGGACTGCTGGGGCCGAGTGCTGCTGGCACAGGGTGCCAGCACCAGCACGAGTTGTGCAGTAGGTTCCTCTCCAGAGAGCACCACTGCTGATAGATGTGACACGTGGGAAGACACTGGGATAAGCCCACTTCCTAACAGCACTGTGCACAAGGCCAGCACACAGGAAGGAAGCTGAACAAGAGACAGCCCTCCTCAGGCACAAGAAACGGGGTCAGATCAGGCCTGATAGAGTCAAGAGCTCTCCCAGTAGTCTTTTCCCCTCCAGAAGCTCAGAAGGGCACTTACAAGGCCACAACCCGAAACCTAACACCTTCTGCAAGGAGTCTTGAGCCAGGGAAGCACTCAGAGTTCCTCCACATCCCCTGGAGCAGAGTGCTTTTGCAAGCTGGCACCTGCAAGCCTACCCTGCTGGTGCTATCAGGTCTACATTACACACAGCCCTCAGGCGCTTGACAAATGTTCAAAACACCCCGTAAATGACCGACCGTCCCTTTGTGCTCCAGCATGCTTCAACAGAGGTTTAAGCTGACTGCCTCCTGGGATCCTTTGATCCGTGAGCTCCCCATTGCCAAGGAGCTGGTGAGGCTGAGAAAGCCACCAAGCCAGCAGAACAACATTTCTCCGCTGCCACAAGCTCCTCAACGTGCCAAGACAATCCTCACTGCTCCCCTCCTGCCTTTGCTCCCTGCGGAGAAGCTGGGGCACGCAGGACGCGGCCACCCTGCGGAGAAGAGCGAACAAAGCTGCCTCGCTCTATCAAAGGAGCGGGGAACCCAGCAAGGAGAGCTCAGCTGCAGGGAGACGAGTTCATTTGCATACGAGCGTTAATCCCAGCACAAAACCTGCGTGGGCTGGAGCTGGCAAACACATCTGGCCAGCAGCTGCCCTGAAAGTAGCCTTCTCCAGGCCAGCAGTAGGGCAACCTCCCCGCCGCATTGCCCTAGCAGCAGGTCTCAGGAAGGCTGGGGGTGTGAAACTGCCTCCGACGGACCAACCTCTGTAACTTTTACAGGCACAGGCAGCCAATGGTGGGCTTACGGGATGGCAGCTGCAGCCCAAACCCACTCACCTCCTCTCTCGTAGAGCAGAGGAGCCAGTAAAGGCAAACAGACCAGCGGAGTGGACTGTGTACAAGTTGCTGGGCAACAAGGGAAAGGTTCTCTTGCTGACTAGCAAAGCCTACGGCCCTGGGTATCTCAGGGAACGCCAGCTTCAACAGGAGAGCCCGCAAATGTACCAACCTCTCCATCTGAAAGCATATTACAGTTGGAAAGTCAAGCACCAACAAGCCAGGAAGTGCCGGAATTAGTGCTGCATGTGGAAGTTCAAAAATACGCACATCACGCAGGCAGACTGGACCAATTACACAACCATATGTTGTTTTCACCTTTGCTCAGTGTTGCTTTGAAGCAGCACCTTCAGATCCTCAGCTCACTAATCTGCCTCAGGACAAGGGTGAGCATCGGTGCTGTGACTACCCCTCGCGATGCAGAAGTGAGGAAGATGGAGGCAGCCATCTGCTTCTGCTGCACGCATCCCTGGTGTCAATAAAACATCTCACCTGGCAGAGCTGTTTCCCTGTCCAGTACACGTGCAAGACTTTAGCATCACCCCCTCCCACTGCCTGCCACGGGCAGAAAAGCAGAGAGCTCCAAGGCGAGAGCCCATTTTTTCCCCCTAACAGCCCCCAGATGTTTCTTTTTGATCAGTCACATTTGTGCAATGCCTCGTGACAAGAAGGACTGCACAAGCATTGCCAAGAGCTGACTGTGGCCAGTACCACCTCTTTTGCCAAAATCGCAAAGCAAGAACGCAGTTTCTCAGGGTTTGTCTGTTGAAAAATCCTCAAAGGCAGAGCTATCGGGAGAGGCATCTCTGAGATCTGCACCCTCTTAACATAAAAAACAAAGCAGTAGGGGGATAAATGCTGTGTTGAGCCAGCGCCACACAGCTGCAGAAGGACTGCTCTCCAGTAGCCACTTGAACGGACTCAAGCCTGAGAGGGCTTTCGGAGAACAGATAAACCATGAGAAGAGGCTGTGAAACTTTTAATTAGCAAAACAGACCCTGGGAAATAAGGAGAGCCCAAGAAAAGCTACATAATGCCACAGCTGCACTCAGTCACTTTGCAGTGCCCTACAGACCTGTGTCACAAGGAGCCCCAGAGCCACTGGAAGCACAAGAGCAGACAAAATGGCTTTCTAGGAAACACCTGCCCACCGGGTGTTTCTCAAACGCTGCCAGCACACGCAGACTAAAGAGCAGCGTCACGGTAAAACCAGTCCGAGGCCACGCACGTTCTCGACCTCTAACTCAAGGGAGGCTGTTTGATAACGCAACCCCCCCTACCCGAGCATGTGGATGGGAAACATGGCCAGCAGCTGTGACTTGGCCACATGACCCGGCTTTTGCTGGGGCCATTACCAGCTCCTAACCCCCAAGCACTACAGTTCTCATCACTCTAAAGAAATAATAGGCCCCGAGAGTACCTAGCTCACTGTGCTGCTTCATTGGTCAGATTTCCGAATCTCTCCTCGAAACGTGAGCTGACTTCTGATAGCCTCAAGATCCCCCAAGGTCTTTGAAAGCTCACAAGCGACAACCTCGTGCTCAAATTCTGCAAGATGGACTTGCAGAAGGAAGGCCAGGAAGCTGTTTGCTTCCAAGGAGAAGGGACACGACCGTTGGTAGGAGCAGCATCAGCACAGGAGCTAATGTATCTTGGTTTCAACATAACTTGCACATTGACTGAGAATCATTATCCACGGTAAAGCTGTCTGGAAGGAGAGCTACAGCCCATCGGGGGACACATTTGTTCCTTTTGATGAGGAAAAAAGGAAAGACAGAATCCTCCAGGTAGACTTTCTCCATTTATCCTCAAGATTTGCAAAGAGCTAATGGAGAAGTCTCGCAGCAAAGCGGCGCAGCTTTTGCATTAGGTTCAATCAGCAACCACATCCCTGTCTGGGGCTGATAACTGACCCCTGGCCACCTCACCCTCCGCCTGAAGGTTGCGGGCTCCTGAGACTGAGCTCAAACAGCGCAGCCTTAAATCTCTGGCTAAGCCATTAAGAAGCATTACAGCCCAGCAAGGTGAAGCCTGCGTCCAGCACCCTTCAGAAGCCCTGGAAATAGCAGGATGCAAGAGGCTTAAATTCAGGAAATTTTATTAGATCAGTTCAAACCAAGATGACCTTCCTCAGATTCTTCTTGGATAATAACGTTCCTTGGACTCAGCCAGGGTACTCCTTCCACCCGCCTTCCTCCAGCAGCGCTACTGTCTGAGCCCTTCCAGACGCTGCCTTGTCCTCCCTCTCTGCCCCACTGCCTCGACCTCCTCATGCTGCTCCTGCCAGTGGGGCGAACAAAGGGCAAATCTCGCAAGCTCCATTCCAAGGAACATGCTGGATCCCATCCAGAGTTCCCCGCAGAGAATGAGGAGAGCCATTTGGAAACGGGACAGAAAACAGCTTGTTTCTGTTCCCTGCCAAAGCTGAAAGAACGAATAGGGCTGGCTGCAGTTTAGTGGTTCATCCCAGGTCAATGCACAGGCCTCTTGCATTTGGGGAGCTCTGTTTAGAGTCAGCTTCAATTGGATCTAATGCAAGTTTGGAAAGCTTTGTGATGGACGTTCGCTCGCATGACAGAAGCCTGCATGCTTGCCAAAGGCCCCTTCTTAAGGGAGGGCAGGCCAGAAATCAGATGCTGGTAGCAATGGAGAGAGAGAGAGAGAGAGAGAGAGAGAGAGAGAGAGAGAGAGAAAGGGGGGAGCAATAACTCTAAGGATGGATCTGCAAGAAGAAGCCTGGCTAAAGAGCGAGTTTGAAGAAAAACAGCAATTCGGAAAGCAACTCAAGCTACTCTTCATCCCTGCTCCAAGACCATAACTCTTTCCTGCAGCTCCTCAGTGACAGGAAAGGCTCTTCCCAGGCACAGCTCAAACACGAGGACCATCATCAGCATTGGAAACAAAAGCTCATTCTGCCATGCCTCTACACCAGCTCCTCGCAAGGAACACGAGCGGAGCGCCTGTCCTCCAAGGGTCACGGTGTGAAGGACGCATGCTTGCAAGAGGGCTGAAGTACAGATAAGCTGCTGCCCCAGAGCGCCAATCCTGCTCCGTAGCATTCACGGCACAGATCTCAGCACACCCCTTGCTCTGCCTCATGTTTCTGGATTCGGGAGGTTGCAGTTACAGCAGCTTCCTGCAAACTCCCCAAACTGAGCCCTGAGAAGGGCTCATTAAAAAAAATAAATAAAATAAACAAACACCACACACAAACAACAGCAAAAACAAACAACCAACACTGAATAGGGCTTTCCTGACACATATTCCATTTTGTTCTGTCCAGAAAGGCATGATCAAACTTTGTACTTACTAACATTTAAGGAGTGAAAGCCCACAAGCGTCCTCACCGGAGGCTTTGGAAGCGAAGCCTGGACAGATGCCAGGCGAAGGCTCTTCCTGCAAGTCCCTTCAGAAACCCCACAAGCCCGAACAGCAGCGCCTCCCATTACGACATACAAACCCAGCTCAAATAGGATTTTAGCTCGACTCCAGGCTCATCTCAAAAGGAAAGCCTGACTATCTGAAACCACCTGCTCAACCCAGCACTTCACATGGCTTGGACAAACCAAGTTCCCAGAGCATACCCCAAAAACTGTGCTTTCCCTCCGTGCCTTAGCTCTCATCTGTGAGCAAATCCAGCTTGGGAGGATGCCAGAAGTGCCTGGGTTAGTGCTGACAACGCAGACCGAGATCTTCAGCCGGAAGGTACTACTATTATTAAGATGTTGTTGTGTGCTACAAGCCCTTGCACAGCACCTGGCTCCCAGCAGGCCCAGAGCTGCACACAGGCTGCCGCAGAAACGCGACTTGTTATGCTTGGAAGATCAGCAGTATTTTGATACAGAAGTAGCTTCAGAAGTCAGATTACTTCTCGACTAGAAACCGAGCACACGGAAGTAGTAAGTTAAAAGAAGAAGGGCAAAGGAACAGCCAAAGAAACTGAGCAGATTTAAGACGCATGCTGGCAGCATATCAAGCACCAGCTGATATTTGGGTCAAGACAAACCTGCCTGTCTGTGGCTTCACGTCTGAAGCCACAGATGTTACAGGTCAGAGGTTCCGGCTGCCTCAACACAAGCTGAAGAACCAGCACAGCTTGTGCCAGGATCCAAACAGCAGTTTTGCTGCCCTCTGCTACAGAGAGAATGGGGAACATGGCATTAAGGACACTGGGTTTATGCACTGCAACGCTTGGGGTCAGAGGAAAGGCCACTTCTAAGTCAAGTTTTCTCAGCAGCTTCCACACCATAAAGGCTTGGCAAGCTTACAAAACTGATGCTCTAGTTCAAGTCTGGGACTTCCACCTAGCACTGACACGCTCCTGTGCCATGATAAACTGCTCTACCTGAAAAACACCACAGGGCCAACCTTTTGGGATGTCCTACTGGCAGCAGGCAAGACACGGAGCAGGAGCCAAAAAACAAAAGAGCTAAGTCTGAGGAGAGAAGAACATATCAGGCAGGAGAAAGGTCACTGGAATTCAAACCTTAGCATGGATGTTACAGCAAGCAGTAACAAGGAACAAGTGTTGGGTTCCCATTTAAGAGAGAAACTCTGGTAGCCTCAGTAACACGGTGTGGAGGTATGACTAGGAACACATGGGAAGATCAGAATTTTGTCCCTGGCATAAGACACTGTCTTTGGCACTGCAGCAGTGCTGAGCTGTCAAGAGAACAGCCTTGTTTGTCCCGCAGTAAGGAAGGGAAACCAAGAGAACTCCTGAGAAGATCCTGTGCAGTGGAGGTCTTCAACAGCAAATTCTGGAGATGTTTTCTTCCTAGCAGAACTTCATTGTCACTTCGCCTCAGAAGAAATAGAGGGTGCCCTGGGTTCTGTTTTTGCCTTCCTCTCTCCTGCCCCAAGAGGATAGTATTTATCCGCTTTGTATCATCACTTCATTTAACTCCAACATTCAGCCTCTCTGATGAAACCTGCCTTGGAAACCGTCTCCCCTGGGAAGGGTGGAGTTTCACAGCCCAAGCAGCATCACGCCCACGCAGCCGGGCAAGAGGCAGATTCCTGCTTTCTGTTACAGCTCCAGCCCAGGCCCTTCTCCCAGAGGCCCTGTTGAGCCACCCAACACTTTTCTCAGAACTGCTCAAAGAGCAGAAACACTGCCACTCCATTTTTTATCATTCACAATGTGCCTCTGTATCAATGATGAACATGTCCCTCTCCACCAGCTCCTCACATCCAGATTGCCTGCACTGGTTTCTCAAAGCAGCACTACTCCACTTTCTTTTACATTGCCTTCTTCTCAGGGACTAAATCACAGAGCCACGACTGCATCCTGCTTAGAGGGACCTGTTTCTTTCCCAATACCCCTACCAAACCACAGCGATCATCGACAGGCAATCCTTCTTCCAGGTGGACTTAGCTAGCAGATACGCATACATGCCACGGTCAGATCTGCTCTAAGCTAGAAGGGGTGTGCAAACTGCAAGCCCCTAGACAGGATCTGATCTGCCTTGCTCGTACACGTCCAGAGCTTTGTACAGAAGGAATCAAAGGGACTGCAACCTCCTGGTTCCTTGGAAATTATTTAGTTAGCAGTTGTTTGGACTGCAGCAGCCCTTCAGTGCCACGGAAATAAGATTCTTTCTTGTCAGCAAGCGTCAATGAAATCCTCTCTAATAGGGCACTTAACTAACACTGCTTTTTGCCACCTAGCTGCGACAGCAAAGCATCTGCACAGGGTAACTTCAAGGCCAGAGCGCCATTCTGTACAAAGTCCATACTCCACTGCAGATCCTGCGTTAAAGGAGAACTGACAGCTACTGTGCCACAGGATCAAGCTCGTTCCCTACCACAGTATCCACGTGTTAACTCGGGAAAAGTCTCCTAACCCCTCAACTAGTAACCTAATAAACAGAAGAAACTCCCCGCGTCACTGATTTTACCCTGGTCAGCACAAACTGCCCGTGTCGCAGGATTCTGAGGGCTGGGCTCCATCCCAGGACTCTCTCCAGCCACACATCCACCTGGCAAACAAGAAGGGCTTGAAGCAAGTTCCCTCTGCTCATAAGCTATTTGGACCGTAGCTACTCCCTTGCTGACAGCCCTTCAGGACCTTATCTTTACTCTCCACACCACACTTGGACTTCGTCGCCTTCTTCCGAAATCTCCCTGGACACCTATCCCCACTCTCCTGTCTCATCATTCCCTGCTAGGGGAGTGAAGGGGATTCAGTTTCCAATGTGTCTTCTCTTCCAGTTGGTGCAGAAACCTGCTTTACATGGGAGTTGCATGCTCCCCAGCCTCCAAGCAGCCATTCCCCCAAACCACATTCCTGCCAAACCCTTCCACAGTGACCTCTGTGCAGGTCACCCAGGCGCCCACGTGAGCAGGCAATCTGGCAGGCTGCACAGGGACAGAGACCACAGCTCTGCACACAGACACGCTGCCAAGAGCCCTGCTGAAGCTCAGCTGACCATCCATTTCCTGACCATCCTACTGAAAAACCCTCTCCTTTCTGCTGCAGGTGCAGAAGCAGAGTCTGGCTGCTCTGGTAGTATCAGCTACCACCAGGCCCCAGCGATCTGCTACCACCGTGCGACGGACAACCCGGACTCAGCCTTGGTGCCGAAGGGAATTGCCTTCTTGAATTCCCTGCTTGAGCTGCTAGTGAATAACCAGCAGATATAAGGATATCAAAGGATTAACATATGTTTAATAATCCACTGATTAAAAAGTCCCTAGGCGCTCACTGGCATAGATGAGAGGCACTGAGGGCTGTTGTGCCCTCCAGTGCCCAAATAATGGATTAAGTTCTTCATTAAAGCAGGAAACAGTAGAGCAAACGGGGCCTGAGTCACTACCCCCTAGAGAAGTTCTGTGGGTACAGCAGGGGTGACCACTCGCAGAGAGGAAGGGGCTGCTTTTCACAGCCTGAAAATTGCAAAACAAAGAACAGATCGTATTGATTATACCCGCTCACCCCTCCCACTCCACGGCAGCTCCGCGCACAGATTGCCAGCCAGACACCATTCCCGACACTCGCTGCCATCGCAGACTCAAACAACTCCATAGACCTAGCTGTGTCCTGCCTTCCTGCGACTCCTGTTTACCAAATACTGCAGTTCAACGACATATGCTCAGTGCCTCACCCTATGCCAGCCATACGCTCCGAACACCTGCTTTGATCGCGGTGTTATGGCCGGCGCGGATGGCAGGAAAGCATATGTTAGCCTATTTACACGAAATGAGAGCGATGAGTGACTCCCGGCTGCTCGAGCCAGGCACCCGGGCTGGGTTTTGCAACCTACTGCATGGACGGTCAGGGTAAATGAGCAAGATCTCTCCCAGCCCGAGAATCCTTTGAATCAAGTTACAATTGCAACCGTTGGTTAATGCTCAGATTGGCCTTGAATATGCCGTCTCAATTTTCACTTCAGGGCTCTTCCGTGTTTTAAGGCTACTCAGGTTGTTTCCTCATTTTGTATTAATGAAGTTTACAAGTTGGAAGCTCCCTTGGTTTGATTTTTTTTTTCCTTAAGTTTTCATTCATGCAAATAATGTGGCAGCTCTGGAGGTGGTGATCAGTAGAGATTGAGAATCTGTTGCACAACTGGGCTCCTCCATTTCCAAAGAGCATCTGGAAGAAATCGCTTTAAATCAGAAGCCTAGCCTCTTCAAAATAATCACCATGTGCACAAGAGCCAGCTCACAGACAAGCCGCGCATGCAGTGAGAAGCGGAAACTTGAGTATCAGTTAAAATATACTCTTCATAAAACATATTCAGGCAGAAAGTAGAACAATTACACTGGCTCTGGCTTCTCCAGGGCTGCTCACTGGTCAGATCTACCTTCAAGGCACTTGCATGTCTCCATTTTTCCCCCTCAAATTAACAAGCACCTGCTCTCCTCTTCCATCACCTCCTTGTCTCTTCAGCTTCCTCTTGCAAATATGCACCTGCTACTTGGTTATGGTTACCCCTAAATTTGCAAAAGGTGCATATAAACATGTTTCAAGGGAGCTCTGCGCAACAAGAAATGGCTGTGAAGCTGGAGTTGGACATATGACTTCTGCTTGGAGTGGCTTGTACCTCCTCTGCTCCAAAATTGTTTCTTCTCAGCCCAGCAGATGAACAGCCAGCGGTCCCTGAGTCTCACCGCAGCGCAGATAGAGTTACGCACCTTGGCTCCTGCTGGGTGTTTACAGCAGACCCGAACTATCACTCTGCTGCTACAACAGACAAGATTTGCACAGCAATGCTGCCAAATATTCAGCTGCTAGCAACTTTTATGGGGATTTTTAAGCAGTTAGAAACCATGAAGAATAAGGAAAGATGGAGCATGCAACCATTCTAAAGGAGC